AAAAATCAAATGAAATTAGTGTAAAATATCCTGAACAAAGAATATGAAGTGCCTACATAATGCCAGGGTGAATTTCTCCATCCTTTATGGCAATATATGGAAATTTGAGAATAGCAAGGTATCTTTGTTTATATGTAGTGTGTTTAAAGAAGATGAAATATTTTTCAAGTTCATTTAAATGCAAATAGTATCTCTATTTAAAGAAAAAACATGTTGATGCAAACTTGTCCAAAAAAATCACTTTAATTAATAAAAAATGAAGAACATTAGCCTCTGCAGGGGCAGAGTTTGTACATACATAATGCAATGTGGAGTCTGGGCAGCAACCTCACCTTAAAAAACATACCTCCTAGGGCTAGGGATGTAGCTCAGTTGGTAGAGTGCCTGCCTCACATGCACAAGACCCTGGGTTCAATCCTTAGCACCACAAAAAAAACCATATCTACTGCTGAACATTTAAAATTCTCTGTGACATACTACCAGTTCAGCAATGGATAGCAATGAAATTTGTAGTTACAGGTTTTGAGTAGGGCAGAAAGGGAGTTGGGGAAAGTAGATTGTGAAATTGTAGAAAATAGAGGAAGTAAACCCACAATTTGACTTCATCGTTGCTCCTTTTTCTTTTCCTTGCTTGTTTCAGAAATAACTTGCTGATAAGTCAATAATGTGGAAAATCTCACTCCTATGTCTATCTATATTATTGTGTTGAATCTTTATTGGTGAAATCCTCCATATACACACATACAGTGACTGGCATCTAGTAGGTACACAATCCATCACTGTTCATCCAGATTCTAAGAATTATAGCTAATTTTAGATGTAACTTGCCATGTGCTAAGCATCATATTGATGATCTCCCCTGTATTAGGAGCTTTGATTCTTACAACAATGTTATGAGGTAGGTACTGTCTCCATGGGCAAGCAACTGAAGCACTGGCTGAACCCTGCCTGGGACTACATAGCTTACTGTAGGTGAGAGGGAATTCTAATCTGGGCAGTCCTGCCACAGTCTGACTTGTAAACACAGGAATCACTGCCTCTCTGGATGTAAAGTTCTAAACTGTGAGAGGTGTTTATTTACACATTCCGTTAGGAGAATTTGGGAAATTGATCTGAGTGGGAAGATCAAATTGGGGAACATTTAGGTGGTTCTGCAGAGAAGTTGGAGGCCCTCAGGGAGCAAGAAGCATTGTTGTTTTGAATAATTACTTTCCTCACTCTGGTCACATAAGGTCTTGCAGAAAAAACACCTTCTGCATTAGATTGAGTGAAAGATGTAGTTGTTATGATTGCCAAGTGGGCTGAAATGACAGAATAAATGACCTCATCGGCACAGCGCCACTCTCCAGGAACCAGGCTATACAGAAAAGCAGGGGAATTTTAGGGTAATTTGAACAATATTTGCAGTGGTGGCAACACATGGCTGTTCCTTCACAGTAGGCAGTGGTGGCAGGGAGTCTTTTATAGGGCTCTGTTCTTATCACCTAAAACTTCCGAAGCTTAACTGACTGCCAGGATAATTAACCCCCCTGCATACGGGAGGTTCTTTTAGATCCACTTCTGATACATTAAGGAAAAGAAAGAAAATAATCATTTCAGGTTGTGCAGCCTGGCCCTTAGATGCTGATATATGGCAAATTGCAGCCCAATAGGAAACGAAACCACCTTTCTTAAGGACAATTTTGAAAGAAACCTATTATTTTTTTTTCTATTATTTTTTGAGTACATGAAATTGTAATATACTTTGTAGATTTTATTATTTATAATGCCTCAAAGTAGGAGGTTGAAATTAGAAATATAGTACATTGGCACCAGAAGAGATCTGTTGCAGCTAAGCTCACCCTCTCATTTTATATTAATCATAACTATCATACAAACCTATGATATGTAACATCTGAATGAAATACCAAGTAAAATGTTCCACACATTCAGTTTGACACTGATCTCAGTGCTTGTTCAAACCAACAATCTATGGTAAATAATTCAAGTTCTTTTCATTTAAATGAAACTGCTCAAGGAGATTTGTGGATCTCAAATCTGTTCATTTTCACTGAATACCTACTAGAACAAGCAAGCTATCTTTACATGGGTGAGAGGGTTATTGTGCTAGTTGGCTCTCTGCTACTGTACCAAAATACTGGAGATGATCAATTCACAAATAGGAAAAAGATTATTCTGACTCAGTTTCAGAGGTTCCAGTCCATGATCAATTGGCCTTTGTTACTGTATTAGGTCTATGTTTAGATAGCACATCATGGTAGGGAGTGTATGGTAGAACAACCTTCTTACCTGTTGGCAGACAGGAAACAAACAACAAAAAGGGTCAGGGGAAGATAAAGAGTTTAGATTCCCATAGTCCCCTTCAAGGGCCCATCCCTAATGAACTAGCTTCATCACATTAGGCCTCACTTATCAAAGGACCTGTCACTTCCCAACAGCACCAGGGGCTGGGGACAAAGACATTAAGACATGGGCCTTTGGGGAACATATCCAAAACACAGCAGTTATAGAGTTTCAGCTTATAGACATTCATTGATGGTTCACATTTGTCATAGAAAAAACAAACCCTTATTTGTTATTTTCTGCAACAAAACCAACCTGTATGTCTGGGACAATGTTATTTCTAAAAGGCACTAAAGCTTTCTAGTATGTTATTGCATTAAGCCAGATTGTATACTAGCTATGAAATTCATGGTTCATACTCAATATGGAATAGAATTCAGCTGCTACAAAGAATAAATGAGCTAGCAAATCAGAAAAGCAAATGACAGAAATGTCCTCATGATGAGATTTCATGTGAATGATTTCAAGACAATGATATTAGCAGGAAAAAAATATGGAAAAATACACTGCAGTATGTTTCAATGAATTGCCTGGTTGAGGGAGTGAGTGGGGGGCAGGTTTAGAAATAAATATATAGAAAAAGGGCAAATGGGAAATCACTTCCCTTAAAGCATATGATATGCACTTGTTTCAAATTACATGCATATGTAGAAAAGACATGTCAAAATCCTGTGTTAAAGCACATTATGAACTGGGGTAGTGGCTCATACCTGCTCAGAAGGCTGAGGCAGGAGGATTGCAAATTCAAAGCCAGTCTCAGCAATTTAGAGAGCAAATTAGCAAGACTCTGTCTCAGAACAATAAAATAAAAAGGGATGGGGGTATGGCTCAGTGGTAAAACACCCTGGTTTCAATCCCCAACTTCCCCTTCCCCCACAAAAAAGAGAGTGCATTGGGCTTCCTACATCCACTAGAGAACACAATTGGCAACAGAAATATTGTTTTTATACTACATAAATATGTGTCTGTGGGGATGGAAAAATATTGGGCATGAAGCTAGACTTTTACTTTCTATCCACCTGGATGTTGGGTTTTAACACTATGAAGTTTCCTAGCTGTGTGACACTAAGCACTTTTCATATACCGACCAAAGAAGTTAGAATTGCCTATATTACTGTGACAATTAAATGAGATAGCACAACTCAACAACAGAAATCTATATCAGCTTTCAAGAAGAAATCTTTGCCTTTCAATGCTATACTGAGTTATGTCTCTCACATCTATATTTCAACACTTAAGGTTTAAGCTGGAGCTCTGAATAGTGACTCCACAAAGAAGTCTAGTCTGTACCCTGTAAGTAGTACAGTTTTAAATATGGTGGAAATTCATGAGGACCAAATCAGAGAGACTTCATAGAGGGGGGGATTCTTGAAGGGTACCTATGGTTTATATGGGAGAAGATATCAGGCAGAAGAAGAACACCTGAACAATGGGACTCTTTCTGAATAAATTCTGAATTCAATTCATAATCTATGATTTCCTCAAATTTTCATGGTGGGAAAATTAGACAATAATTTTGATACTTAAAGGGAGATACTTTGTAGGGCATTTAAGATGGCTATAGTAAGGTAGATGGCATATATAGAAAATTAAAACTAGCACATATTTTTTTCATTTTGAATGGCTGGCATTGAATCAAAAAGGGCTAAAGAAATGTCATCAACAAATTAGCATATAAGGCTTCTTAGTTATGCCTAGTGTGTAGATTGGGAAATATTTGCTCATAGGCTTTATTATACTTTTAATAATTAGTATATTACATGTAAATAAGTCTTTCCTAACCACAGTATAGTCATTTAACCAACAGGTATTTTTTCTTAAGGGATTATGGTTTCTGTAGTTAATGGTGAGTTTTCAGTCAGGGAAGTTATATTTCTTTGATGTCCATTTATCACAGATAAAGATACACTAAGGACAAGTAGATGTTTTCCAGAGTAATGATTGTCACAGGAGCAAATTCCAGAAAAAGATAAATTGGTGAGCTGTAAGTCGTGGGAAAAGTAAAATGTTTGGTGAGACTGAAGAAATTGGGAATAGGGTGAAAATGAAAACTGGGGAGGTGAGCAGTTATGAGAAGAGCTTGACTGCTGTGCTAAAGAATGTAGGCTTTTTTGTTTAATCAGCTATACATGACAGCAGAATGCTCTCTGACTCATTGTACACAAATGGAGCACAGTTTTTCACTTCTCTGGTTTACACGAAATAAAGTCATACCATTTGTGCAATATACCTGTTCCTAGGCTTTATTCAACCATGTATAAGTGAGGGTGATGCTGGAGTTAAGCTTTATCTTCACCTGAATACTCTAAAGATGCTATTACATGAATATTTCCATAGTACTAAGTCCCTGTTGCTGCTATAACAAGTTATCATGAGGTTCGTGGGTTAAAACAATACAAATTTTATTACCTTACCATTTTTGGAAATTAGAAGTCTAACACAGGTAACCCTGGACTAGAAGGAAGGTCTATAGGGCTGATTTCTTCTGGAAGCTCAGGGGAGAGTGGGTCCCCTGCCATTCGTTGTCAGCTTCCAAAGGCTACCTGAATTCTGTGGTCTGTGGACTTTGTCTGCTTCAAAGCCAGCATTGGCTGGTGAAGTCTGTCACACTGTATCACAGTGACTCTGTCCCTTTTGACTCCCTCTTTCACTTTTAGGACCTTTGTGATTACACTGGGCCCACCTGGATATCAAGGATCCTCTCCTCATCCCAAGGTCAGCTGATTAACAACCCTGATTCCATCTATAACCCCTTTCCCCCTCACCCTGTAATCTCACATGCTCACAGGTTTTGAAGGTTAGGATGTGAATGTTTTTGGAAGGCCTGTGTTCTGCCTACCATGCATGGTTTTGTATACATTGATTGAATAGATTAGTTTTTCAATATTACATTCCTTTTAAAACTAGTCTGTAAGGACAATGATAATAATAGGTCACAGGCTTAGATAGTAAGAAATTATAATTAAAAGTTATTCATAGGAATCTCTAAAAGCATAAAAAAGACCTTGGCAGGTAGATCATCTTTCTTGAGAAATTTTAGAGAAGCAGGAACAGAATTGCTTCATTTAGGTAACATTTTATTTGTTAGAGCAAAATTTGACAAACTTCATTTTAATAGCTAAAGGAAATGATATAAAATCACAATATTCAGTATATTGATACACTTTTACAGGCTGGTAGGTACAGAACAATTACAACCTTTTGAAATAAACTCACTGCTTCTACATTTTAATAAGAAGATTTGAGAATAGATAGAAGCCATACATTGAAGCAGATTTGCTTTAATAGATAATAGAAAACTGTTAGAAAATAGATCCACTGTGAAAACTTCTACAGTTCTCAGTGATTTCTTTGTTATAAATAACATTTTTAAATGTGTACTTTTCTGAACAGAAAAAAATAGCAATTCACTTTATGAATACTTTCATATTTACAATGCCCTTTAAATTAAAAGGGACTATTGCAATGTGAATGATAGTATTTCTAAAATTAAAAATAATAAAGCATTCAAATGTACTAGTCTACCATGATAGGATAATTTCACTACACTAAAAAGTTATAGAACAAAATCCTTCAGCTTTATACATACCATTTTTACACTTCCAGGCATAACAACATTATGTTTTGACACTTTTATATTTTACTGATTATGCATCTGAAGTTACAATCTATGAAATAAGTATAGAAATACCATATACCTCAATCTAATGTTAACTTAAAAATAGATTTTTTTCACTTGTGGAGTTATTTCTTAGAATATTATAAAAGAAAATGGATATAGCAAATAGAGGTCTAAGTTGTTTTCGTAGAAATTTTAAGTTCAGAGCAATTCACAAAATGGTAAGAGATTTTTATTCAATTATTTATTTTACCTCAAAAGTCTCTCATCTAGTTTACAGAAAAGCATGTTTATTCAAAGTACATTTCACTGTTACAACAGCCATTTCCTTTTTGCTGATTCATATTCTGCCCCTTCATTCTCTTATGTTCCTTTTTCTGTAACGGAGCTTATTACCAAGGTGGTAGGGGACTAGTTTCAAAGGCAACATGAGTCACAAAAATATCAAGCTAGTGGTTTCCTTCAGGACATTCATATATTTCTTGTGTTAGAAAGAAAATATTTCCTTGGGCACAGTGATATCACTCCTGAGAAACCAATTACTTTCCAAATATCTGCAATACTATTTTTGACATAACTAACTAAGGCATGTAGGAAAACATACTATAACTACATGGTATGTTATTTTATCTCCTATTATCTATATTTCTTAGACTGTAAACAGAAAAACTGATTTAAAAATTGTGATCATCTAATGATTAATCACTGGCGAATAGGACTGAGTCATTTTTATGCATTGGTCATCCATAGCTTGGATTTTTGGTTTCCTTCAGCTATTATCATCCATAATTCTCCATGTTTACCTTAAACATCCAAAACAACAAGGGACATTTTTGAACAATCTATAATACTCTTCTTGAATCTTGAAAAAAAGAAAATGAAAAGAAGACATGTTAATCGTAATCATGACAATCATATCAAATTATATTCAAATCACAAACTGTATTTGGTTTTCTAAAGCATTATTATCTTCTGATTATCAGAATTTAATAATTAATCTATATTCACATATCTAATAGCAATTTTTAAAAAGCATACTTCCCTAGTGTTCTCTTTTAATTCTAAAATGCATTATATTTCATTAATAAAGTTATGTCATAAATCTATGAGAATATGAACTTTCTATCAATTGTTAGCTGATGCTACGTAAATGTATTATGGTGTTGGCAAAATAATAAATTGCTTACCTTTCTAGATAAAACACACAGGAATAAGAAAATGAACATGCCCTGGAAGGCATTGCTGACTGTGAAGAGGTAAGCTGTGACCACAGATGCATGCACTACATGGAGAACCCCAAAGATCCAGGTAGTGCCAAGAAGGAACAGCAGAGCAAGGGCGCCTCTTGCACAGGACCTGTAAATGTGTTTGGAAGGTTTCCATTAAGAAAGCCAAGTATATTCCCTGCATCTTTCAAATTCCTTAAAGTGTATGGGAAATGAATTGTTTGCAAAACCAAGAAATCTTTGACAAAGACCATTGATGACTTTGAAACTGACAAGTGTGTGCTGTACTTAGATGGGACAGTCTTAAGGGTCTGCTACTGCACTGAGGCAGGATGTGATTCTAAATTCAAAGTCCCACTATAAAAATATGGCATTTTTACAGGAATTACTTAATCTTAAAACATTTTTATATGCTATACTTCAGTGGGTATGCTTTGATTTCAAATGTAACATGTCAGTTAGTTCCCAAAGATAAAATATATCTATCAAGAAGTATTTTTCCCAAGAAACTTTGAAAATTATACTGAGTGTGGTCTTGGGTCAGCACATAGCCATGGCATCAAAGGAGGCTTCTCTTTTTCATTTAGGTTTAGGAGGAAAAGTGTAGAATATGAAACTGCTTTTGCAATGTAGTTAACTCAAAATAAACTGATGTCAGAGTACTGATTTTTTAAAAATTATAGAAAAAATATACTCAGACTTACATATTTTCAACTGATTGCCCCTGACTTTGGGTAGTATAATATTCAATCCTGCTCACTGAAGGCAGTGTGTTGAACATGAAGTAACTAGTGATTATTCTCATTCATTTTCAATCCAATCATTCTTTACTGCAGAAGGTGTTTTAGCAATGTGCCCCAGAAAATGAGTCATTTTCAACTTTATTAAAACCAGCACACAACATGAAGCTATGAATGGTGAAGACTAAAAGAAAGTAATCGATCAAACATTTGCTAAATCCCCACTATAAATCTTGGGTGAGGATTGAAACTACAGGAGTGTTCCCAAGCAACACCAACAGTCAGCTGTTTCCCTTGTTCCCTATAGTACACTTCAGCTTTTCCTGAACAAACCATTTTTGAGGTCTCAATAAATCAGTTTTAAAGAGAGAGGGTTAAAGAAAAAAAATCATGGCAAAATGCAAAAGGAATTACGAAAAAGAAAAATTGACTAAGTACTGAGAAATGTTTTATAAAAGAAAATTTTAAGGCCTATTTTTTTTGCCTTAAAACATAGTCATCATCTCTTCCCTTTCAAAAGGAAATATATTTGAAAAGACTCCTTCACTTACTGTTTAATCTGTGGTATTTACAGTCTAATTACATACATTAAATATTTTTACCAATAAGTATTTTAAATATGGTGAAGGAAGTGTGAACCAATCAATTAATAAAAACAGTAATTCCAAAAATTATTGATACTTCAAGCTACTTAATCTTTTAATTACTAAAGTTCATGAGCATCAAGAAACACTAACCTTATGTTCTCATAGCAACTAACTTCTGGTTTTAACCCAGCAGTGTGACGAAAGACTTTGTATATGATAACTCCAAAAGCCAAGAGGTTAACCTGCAAAAATACATTAATTTCATAAATTAGATTATTTTCATAATAAACTGTTTACACACAAAGGAAATAAATAAGTAGTAAAGATTTCAATAAGAGAAACCAAAAAACATATTTTCATATATTACACTGTATAAACCCTCTGATAGGCAAGTGTGGCTTATCTTTACAATATCACTGAACATTGTTTGTTAGTGCATAAGGTAGTAGTGCAATTGCTAGTTTGGGCTAAGCTGCTGGTTCAAGAAACTTCATTAATTGATACAACAACATCTACATATTGATGAGTATCATCTCTTGCCAGTAATATGACTCATAAACAATATAAGACAAATTTTGATTGGAAAGCTTCATAAACACTGGAGGAAGTAAATTTTATTCACTGTTTCCTTAAGGAAAACTATTAGAAATAATTCAGCTCTTAAAAACTTTAGTCAGGAAAAGAAAAATTGAAAGCACATTAGAAAACTCAACAAGTCATCTCTATTTCTATTGCTAATTTTTTTTTTGAATGTATTTTCTTTTTCTGGTTCATCTGGATAATTCTTCTATATTTATATTGAGATTTCCTTTCCCCAGATTTAACCTTAAAGGTTTCAATGTATCAGTCCATGAAATAAATATTTGTTGGGAGGCAAATAAATTTTAATAAACACATTCTATTTATATTTTATAGTATGGGCTAAATAGAATGTGTAGTGTTTTTACCCTTCTCAATGTGACCACATTACGAAACTTCTTCTTCTTTTCCTTCTTTTTCCTATGGTTTTGGAAATTTCAAGTTATATTTGCAGTGTTAGAGGATTAAATGAGAGGTATGCTTTGAATGTATATCTATTCTAATATAAGAATGCTAGTCATTTAAAATATTAAGTACTATGGAAATATTATCAGATTAATCATTTATTGAATGTATTTTATTAATTCAAACAGATTTTTCAAAAGCCATTTTGAAATGACAGCAGCCAAGCACAATGTTATAATTTTCTGTTAATTCTACTAGTAATTTAGAAGCTTATTGCTATACAAAACTATTTTTTTCCTATATTTAAGGAGTTTATATAACTTCTCAAAATTAGATTAGGTGATTATTATTATAAAAAGCATATAAAATAATGGATCGGAGATTTTCATGTTGTCATTTCTCTATGGGGAGTCCTTGAGAGGAAATCTTAGAGAAATAAGGGGTCTAGTACTTTCTTTCTGTTTCTAACTGTCTATTACTTCTAATTATATGATTAATTAACTCTAATTACACTAATGCTTCCATACAAAGAAAAGACATTAGCAATAGCAAAGGAGAGATAAAGTATAATTTAAATTGAATTAGTTGAAATAGTTTTGCCCTATTTGTATGTTCAAATAATTAACTGAAGTGACAATTTAATAATATTTAATTTTATAAACTCTTTAATACCTACAAAAGAGAAATACTTACTATTTTCTAGGTTTCAATAGCTATAGCTATTTGGTATAAATTTAGAAACAACTGTACTTAATTTTACAAAAAATGCATTTGTATTTTTAAATAATATAAATGTTTCAAGTTCGGTTAGTATAAAAGTGTATGCCGAATCACTATTGGTTTGAAAAATCTTTAAATAATTTTTATGAGGTTTTTATATTGAATTTGTTATCTCAACCAAGAAACAGCTGTAAGATAAAATAACTTTAAATGATTAAAAATGTTTTATAGATCTACAATTTTCCACTTAAATTAGTAATTTAAAATATTTTCTAAAGTTTCCTAGACTTTTTGTTGTTGTTGTTAAAACGGAATATGGAAAACAGCTTACACATTTTGGACGTACTTTTCTATATCACATGCTAAAATATTGAAGAGAGGAAAGGGAACATTCCCTGAGGGAGGTCCAGATCTGGAAAGTGCATTAATTTTTCTGTAAAAAGGGAAAATATTTACATACTTATAAAATCCAGGTGCTACAAGGCAAGTAGGAGGCTAATTCTTATTCCATAAGCTCATGTTTTTCCAAAAGTTAGAAAAAATAAATTAAAGCATTTTTATCAAAAGGTGTTACAGTTTTATATAATCAAAAAAATTACATATACATTGGTTATATTGCTTATATACATGGATAATAATATAAACATATGTATTATAAATTTTTATTTATTCTAAGAACTTTCTGAAGGATCTAATAAGTACTACAGTAGTGAGGGCTTGGTACATACATATTAATCAATAAAATTGACACGATCTTTTGTTTTCATAGATTCAAGTAAGGAAAAGACTCTATAAGTAATCAGAGATGTTTGTAAATTCCTAAACTATGATATTAATTCACAAATATGGACTGTTAGGAGAGACAAAAAAGAAGACTGAGGTTGATTAGCATGAAGTTTCAGGAAGTACACTCTCTTAGGACTTCCAGGACCTCATGAATTATAAGGCATTAGAAGATCAAAGAATGGAGGGTGAAAGATTTTCCATGAGGAACAGCACAGAAAAAAGCCAAGAGACTTGAGGGAGTTGAGAAAGTGTCTTCCTTTTAAACAGCTGATAAAGATGGCTAGTTTGTTAGTGAACAAAAGTAAAGTAGCATGCATTGTGGTGGGTGAGGTTGGCAGGGACAAATATCACTCAGATTTTACCTTTTAAGTGCAAAGATTTTTTATTTATTCTTTCATTCAAGAGTTTTGAATGCACCGTGGGCCTTTTCCTTAAGAAACATGGACTATAATGGAGATGACCAGTCAATAGGCAAGTGCAATACAATTCAGTAAGGTCCGCACACAGTGGGCATTTGCCCAGCAACAGGAAAGAACAGAAGGGACATCAATGGAAAATAGGCCTTCTAAGCCAATCTTGAACAACCAGAAGAGACAGGGGAAAACAGTATAGAGAAAATAAGCGATCACTTGGAACCTTGGTCATGGATCCAATTTATTTTTTATATTAACATTAAAATTTTTTTCTAATTAGTTATACATGATAACAGAATGCATTTCATTTCATTGTACACAAATGGAGCACAACTTTTCATCAACTTTTCATTTCTCTGATTGTACATGATGTAGAACTGCACCATTTTTGCAATTGTACATGTATCTAGGGTAATGAGGTCCATCTCACTCCAACATCTCACCTACTTCCATATCCCCTCCCCTCCCCACTTCCCTTTGCCCAATTCAAAGTTCCTTCATTCTTCCCATGCCCCCCCTGCCCATTATGGATCAGCATCCACTAATCAGAGAGTATGCCTTTGGTTATGGGGACTAGCTTACTTTGCTTAGCATGATATTCTCCAACTCCATCCATTTACCTGCTAATGCCATAATTTTATTCTCTGTTAATGCTGAGTAATATTCCATTGAGTATACATACCACAGTTGTTTTTTTTTTATCCATTAATCTATTGAAGGGCACTAGGTTGATTCCACAGTTTAGAAATTGTGAATTGAGCTGCTGTGAACATTGATATAGCTGTGTTATGATAGTATGCTGATTTTAAGTCCTTTGGGTATAGACTGAGGAGAGGGATAGCTAGGTCAAATGGTGGTTCCATTCCAAGTTTTCTAAGGAATCTCCACATTGCTTTCCAGATCTATTTTGTTCACTCACTTTTTATGTTATCAGACCCAATGGTCCAAAATACCATATGTACCTAGATCCAATCTGATTCCTCCACTTGGAATTTTAATAGTCATTGTGAATTAAAAATGTCAAAAAAACAAACTACTGTTCTTCCCCCCAACTCATTTTTGCTGCTTTATTTTGTTCACTAATGCAAGTTATCTAATTTTTCTGGTTCAAGGCATATCCATTAGCCAACTTTTCATCTTTACCTTCGAAAAGCTTTCAAAATATGAAGAATACTTACCCACTTTCACAACTACTACTCTGAAACTGGTCATCATGATGCCTCCCCTGGGCTACTGCAAAAGCCTCCCCACAGATCTCCTTGTTGCCATCCTTACCTTCTTACAATCTATTTCATCACAGTACTCTGCCTTATCTTTTTACTTTAATTTTTTTTTTGGCACTGGGGATTGAACCCAATGGGCACATTATCATTGAGCTATCTTGCAGTTATAAAAAAAATTAAAAATTTTGAGACCAGGTCTTGCTAAGTTGCTGAGGGCCTTGCTAACTTCCTGAAGCTGGCCCAAACTTGTGACCCTCCTGCTTCAGCCTCCCAAGTTGCTGAAATTCTAGGCAGGTACCCTGATCTTTTTAAAATGTATGTCTGACCATATTTTAGATCCTCTAGTGGCTACCCATCTCATTTGGAGTTAAAGCCAAAGATCTCAAGACTGATCTGAAAGGCCTGAAATGACATGGTCTCTGGAATTCCTCTTTCCTCAGGTCCTTCTGCCTCAGTCTGCTCACATTGATTCTTTGCTGTTCCTCCAGCACACCAAGCACGCCCCCAGGCAGCTGTATTTGCTTGTTTCCAAAGCATTGCCATGGTCATTCCCTCACTGCTTTGGTTTAAATGCCATTTTACTTACATAGAGCTTTCAGAGTATTTTTATTAAAAAGCTGACAATGCAAATTATGAAGTCAGACCTGAGTTAAATTCTATGGAAGTGGAGAGAATGATGGGTATTTACTATTTTTGGACAATGCAAACTCCATATGACAACACTTTCTTCCTTTGCTTTAGTTACTGGAAACTGACAAAGGTTGTCCCCTTGACCAGATGTTAGACAGGCTCCTCTCAGCCCCTTCTTAACTAAGCCTTGACGATGGGATTCACTGTCCATCCTTGTAGAGACCAGTTTCGTAAGTAATCCTGCTAAGTCAGTTTACAGATAATCTTCCTTCCTCTGATATCTGATCACTCTCAATATGTAATCAAACTACTCATCTCTCATCACTGATATCTGATCTCTCCAGGCTGCTGTTCAGCAAGAACCTTATTAAGTCAGTTTAGCAAAAACTCCCCCTACCCTTGATGTCTCTTAGTAATTATCCCATCACCCTCAACATGTTCCCAGGCTATAAATCCCCAGCTGTCTTTACTGCTTTGAGATTTAAG